AAATATCACATGTTCTCATTTACAGGCGGGAGCTAAACAGCTGGTACTCATGGACATAATAGTGGAGATAATAAACACTGGGGACTCCAAAAGAGGGTAAGGGAGGGTGGAAGAGGGACAAGGGTTGGAAAATTACCTGTCGTGTACAATGTTCACTATTTGGGTAGCGGATACTCAAATCTCCACCATTATGCAGTATACCCATGTAACAGTAATTTTTAAAAACCCACAATTAAATGCCTGTATATACCCACTAGTATTGCCGAAGAAAAAATTTTAATGACAATACAAAGAGGTCAAGAAGATGTAGAGCAAGTAGAACTCTCATGAATTACTGGTGGGAATGCAAAATGGTACAGCCACAATAAAAAAGTTTGCCAGTTACTTAGAGAGTTAAACTTAAGGCCAGGCATGGTGGCTCACACCTGTACTGCCAGAACTTTGGGAGACTGAGGCAGGTGGATTGCTTTAGTCCAGGAGTTTGAAACCAGCCTGGGCAACATGGCGAAAGCCCATCTCTACCAAAATCCAAAAAATTAGCTGTATGTGGTAGTGTGTACCAAAGTCTTAGAACTGAATATCAAAAAGAATGAATCTTACTGTATGTAATTAAAAAACCAACCAACCACCAAACAGCATAAGTTACTTACCAGTGAAACAGTGCATTTGGTGCAGTAACTGTGAGGCCTGGGTAAGAGCTTTTCATACTTTGGGAATACAGACAGGGGAAAGACCACTGGGCTAGGGGAGATCAAGGAAAGCTACACATTTAAATGGGCCGGAAGGAAGAACTACAGGGACAAAGATAGAAAGACAAGGAAGTGCACATCCAGTGTGTCAAGGACAGACAGTGTAGAACAGAAGAGATGAAGACCTTGTGTGACATACCAAGCAGGGTTGACCTTACGTAAAGGAGTGACATGATCTTATCTATGTCTTACCACTCTTGTAGCTATGTGTACAATGAGAAGTAGGAAAAAATAACTGAGGGAGATTAATGAAGAGGTACTTATAACACTCTGGGAAAATGATGATGACGACTCTCAGGAAGTAGCGATGTAAATATGACTGCAAGCGACGCCTCAGAGGGCCATCTTAAAAGATTAGGTCAGTGATGACATGAGGCATGAGGAACAGACACCGTTCCTAAGTAAGTCTTCGTAGACAGGAAAAGTCAAAGGAACCGCAGGTGTAAGTGGGGGGGGCGGGGAATTGACAGGTTGTACTGGTGACTTGCAGGGTTTGAGGTACCTTTAGGACATGCTGCTGCTAATGCAGTCTGTATTATCATTTTGAAACCCCACGTCTTTTCCCTTAGACTCTCCACATGTTTCACAGAGAAACCAGACTCTGACCAGAGCTAAAGTGGCCACAGTATCACTAAGGGACAACTTGAGCAAAGCAGATCAACAAAGAGCACTGCAGCTCTGCTCCAGAGTCTCTGGGCAACTTGACACAGCAAGACAGACGGCAGCCCCAGGCGCCACAGGAGAGTCCCAGCCAGCACACTGAACCCGTAGGCCAGGAACAGCCAGTCCACACAAATTCTGATTAAACGAGCTTTAAGCGCTCAAACCATGCCATATGGAGAAAACCACAGGGATCCAATCGTACAGGTGCCCACTCAAGAGATCACACTTTCTGAAAAACATGAAAGAGAATCAAACAAATCTTCCTTGGACCTAGAGTTATTTTCTCTCTGAGACAATGTGCTTGTCCTTCCTATGACATTCTGCACAGTAAATGTGGGCATCTTCTTCATACATGGACTTCTTTTTCTCACCATGAACCTCGGCTCTAGTGTACTTGTTCCTCATCTCCTGCTGCTGACGCACGTAGGTCTTCCAGGTCTGGAACATCAGGTTATACAGGTAATACCTGAGGACCCAAAAAAAGCAAACGGCATTTCTTTAAAATAAAACAACAGGCCGGGCGCGGTGGCTCACACTTATAATTCTAGCACTTTCAGAGGCCGAGGCAAGGAGTTCAAGACCAGCCTGGTCAATATGGTGAAACCCCATCTCTACTAAAAATACAAAAATTAGCCGGGTGTGGTGGCACACGCCTGTAATCCCAGCTACTCCGGAGGCTGAGGCAGGAGAATCACTTGAACCCAGGAGGCAGAGGTTGCAGTGAGCCAAGATCGCGCCACTGCACTCAGCCTGAACAACAGAGCAAGACTCTGTCTCAAAACACAAACAACAGCAAAACAACTCCTAATCCAACACACCAAGTCTGTTCTATACTAAGAAATTAACATTGACGCTTCTGATTTAAAAAACAAAAAACAAAAAAAACCCATATCTGCACCAAAGCTAAAATTTCATTTCCTACAATCACAATGAACTCTATTCTCTTTGAAGAAGAGTCATTCTCCATACCTTAAAGTGTCACTGAGAAAGCAAAGGCTTGACTGCTCCAAGAATAAGTTCACTTTCATCATCCACAAATTCATGATGTTTGGGCCAGGCAGAGTAGCTCACACCTGTAATCTCAGCACTCTGGGAGGCCGAGGCAGGCAGATTACCTGAGGTTGGGAGTTCGAGACCAGCCTGGTCAACATGGTGAAACCCCGTCTTTACTAAAAATATAAAAATTAGCCACACGTAGTGGCATGTGCTTGTAGTCTCAGCTACTCAGAGGCTGAGGCAGGAGAATCGCTTGAACCCGGGAGGCGGTGGTTGCAGTGAGCCGAGACTGCTCTACTGCACTCCAGCCTGGGTGACACCAAGACTCTGTCTCAAATTTAAAATTAAAAAAAAAAAGAAAAAAAAAAAATCCATGATGTTTGGAAAGACAATCTTGTCTCCTTTTTTTTTTAACACAGGGTCTCACTGTCACCTAGGCTGGAGTACAGTAAGGTGAACATGGCTCACTGTAGCCTGGAGGCCTCCCTGGGCTCAGGTACTCCTCCCACCTTGGCCTCCGAGTAGCTGGGACTACAGGAACACACCACCACTCCTGGCTAATTTTTGTATTTTTTTGTAGAGGGGGCTTTTGCCATGTTCCTTAGGCTGGTCTCAAACTCCTGGGCTCAAGTGATCTCTTGCCCCGGCCTCCTAAAGTGCTAGAATTATAGGTGTGAGCTACGATGCCTGGCCGACAGTCACATCTTAATTATCTTAACTATCCACACTATAAAAAACATCACTTCTCGTTTGCACTACAACATGGTCATTGACGCCTTTTCCTTCTTCTTGATACATACGCCATACATTTTAAGACTTTCGGCTGGGCGCGGTGGCTCAAGCTTGTAATCCTAGCACTTTGGGAGGCCGAGAAGGGTGGATCATGAGGCCAGGAGATCGAGACCACCCTGGCTAACGCGGTGAAACCCCGTCTCTACCAAAAAAAAACCAGAAAACTAGCCGGGCGAGGTGGCCGGTGCCTGTAGTCCCAGCTACTCGGGAGGCTGAGACAGGAGAAGGGCAACCCAGGAGGCGGAGCTTGCAGTGAGCTGAGATCTGGCCACTGCACTCCAGCCTGGGCGATAGAGCGAGACTCTGTCTCAAAAAAAAAAAAAAAAAAAAAAAAGACTTTCGTCTCTTCTATTTTCCTAGTTTTAAATATTTTATTAACATTCATTTTAAAAAGTTTTTTCTTTTTTTGAGACAGAGTCTCACTCTGTCGCCCAGGCTGGAGTACAGTGGCATGATCTCAGCTCACTGCAACCTCCGACTCCTGGGTTCAAGCAATTCTTCTGCCTCAGCCTCCCGAGTGGCTGGGGACTACAGGCACATGCCACCATGCCCAGCTAATTTTTTTATTTTTTTATTTTTATTTTTTGGAGACAGAGTCTTGCTTTATTGCCCAGGCTGGAGTCCAGTGGTGCGATCTCGACTTACTGCAGTCTCTGCATGCTGAGTTCAATGAATTTTCTGGTCAAACCTCCCAAATAGCTGGGACTACAGGCGCATGCCGCCACGCCCGGCTAATGTTTTTTGTATTTTCATTGAGATGGGGTTTCACTGTGTCGCCCAGCCTGGAATTTTTGTATTTTTTTTTTTTAACAGAGACGAGGTTTCACCAATGTTGGCCAGGCTGCTCTCGAACTCCTAACCTCAAGTGATCCACCCGCCTCAGCCTCCCAAAGTACTGGGATTACAGGAGTGAGCCACCACACTCGGCCTTCCCCATATATTCACTACTGCAATTCCTAGGCCTTGATTTCATATTCTATCTGCTTACTAAAACAACTCAGTGTGTCTATATTTTAATCTGAAATATCCATAAATCAGAACTCTTGTTCCAAAGAACCTAGACAAAGAAATGACTACAATAAGAGTTAATACCATTTTAAATATACAATCTATAAGAAATGACATTCAGGTTTTAAAAAAAGGTCTAAAAATGTATATTTGATATAATAATTCTCAACTGTTACTTTCCCCTTCACGTATCCCTGGGAATGTGAATATCAAGGATTAAGAGTTTTTTCTTTTCTTCTTTGTGTGTGTGTGTGTGTGTGAGACAGGATCTAGCTCTGTTGGCCAGGCTGGAGTGAGTGGCACAATCTCAGCTCACTGCAATCTCTGCCTCCCGGGCTCAAGCAATCCGCCTGCCTCAGCCTCCCAAGTAGTTGAGACCACAAGCGCACACCCCTACACCCTGTTGGTATTCTGTACTTTTTGGTAGAGATGGGGTTACATCATGTTGCTAAGGCTGGTCTCAAACTCTTGCGCTTAAGTGATCCACCTGCCTCGGCATTCCAAAGTGTTGGGATTACAGGCATGAGTCACTGTGCCTGGCCTCTATTTTCTTAATATTCTATGTTGGGCATATATTTTCTCCCACAATCAATGTAAATTAGAACAACTTATTATTTTTAAAACAGGGTGGTTTCATGTCTGTAATCCCAGCACTTTGGGAGGCCAAGGCGGGAGGATCACCTGAGGTCAGGAGATTGAGATCAGACTGACCAACATGGAGAAACCTCATCTCTACTAAAAATACAAAATTAGCTGGGCATGGTGGCACATGCCTGTAATCCCAGCTACTTGGGAGGCTGAGGCAGGAGAATCACTTGAAC